CAAGGCAACAGGAAACAACCAAGACAGCTAGGACTTCAGGGCACAAGCCCTCTGAGGGAACAGAGACACATTTAAGTGAGTCCAACACACTCTGCCACTTTTTCCCTTGAGACCAGGGTTGAGAGTCTGAACAGAGAGCAATGGCTCTCTCCAGCCGAGGGGCTGGAGAAACAATAACTGGTGAACAAGGATTCCAACGCAGAGTAGAGGGGTGAGATCCTGGACAGAAGAGAACCATAGAAAAGCAAGCCTGACTTTCTCTACAACTACTCCCCTTGAGGCATTTGCCAATCCCTAAGCCGTATGGGGCAAGAGACCGAAAATCCAAGCAGAAAGTGACAGAAAGGAGGCTAAAAATCAAAGGATAGTTTTGGCAGTCTCTTAATGCTGAGGAATTCAGGGTCCCTCAAGAGGAGGACACCCTTTCAGTCAAGACCCCTGAAGGGGTATTTCCTAAGAGTAGGCACAGAACAGAAACAGACCAGCTCACTGAACCCAGCTTTAAATCTTCTCACCCCCACATGGGATCAGTCTGAGCTAACCCTACTATAACCACCTGCTGCAAGAAAAGTAATCGTGTCTGGAGAGACACAACATCATTCAGGGTTGCTATTATTTTCCATACACAATATCCAGTGTTAATTAAAAGTCCAGGATGCCATAAGACAGGACCAAAAGTCAAGAGAGAAAAGCAGACCCATCAGTATTCTGATACCATGGTTGCCAAAGACTTTAAAATAAATGTTTAATATGGTTCTAAAAACAGATGACAAAATGGGGAACTTAACCAGAGAATTCAAATCTATTTTTAAAAATCGAATGGAAATATTTTTAAATAAAATAAAATAAAATGGAAATTCTAGAACTGAAAAAAGTACAATACGGAAGTTAAGGATTCAAGAGATGAGCTCAACCATTGAGTTGACAAAGCAGAAGAGAGGATTAGTAAACTGAAAGTTACGTCAGTAAAAATATTCAGTCTGAAGCACAGAAAGAAAAAAAGGAACATCCAGACATTTATGGAACATGGTAGAAATGTCTAATAAAGATATCTATAGTCATAGAAGGAAAGGACAGAATGATGGAGAAGCTACAAAAAGGTACTGGCTAAAAATTTTCATCGAGCCATCAATGCAAGAAGCTCTTTGAGAACGAAACAGGGTAACTTCAAAAGAAAACTCCTAGGCAAACTAAAACCGAGGACAAAAAAAAAAAACAGTAAAAGCCACCAGAGGAAAATAATATGCATTAGTTTAAAAGGAGCAACAGTATTATTGTACAACACGGGGAATATAGCCAATATTTTATAATAACTATAAATGGAGTATAATCTTTAAAAATTGTGAATCACTATATTGTACATCTGTAACTTACATAATATTATACAGCAACTATACTTCAAAAAATAAAGAACAAATGGAGCAACACTATTGTCCTACAGCTGGAAGCCCGAGGATAACAGAAAGGCACCTTCAAAGGGCAGAAAGTAAAAATCCAGAAACCTTAAATTCTATATCTGATAAAAAATGACCTTCAAAATTGAAATAAAAATAAACATACTTCGGGCTTCCCTGGTGGCACAGTGGTTGAGAGTCCGCCTGCCAATGCAGGGGACACGGGTTCGTGCCCCGGTCCGGGAGGATCCCACATGCCGCGGAGCAGGCTGGGCCCGTGAGCCATGGCCGCTAGGCCTGCGCATCCAGAGCCTCTGCTCCACAACGGGAGAGGCCACAACAGTGAGAGGCCCATGTACCGCAAAAAAAAAAAAAAAAAAAAGGAAAAACAAAACAAAAAAACCCCCCACACTTCTAGCAATTAGAAATGGAGAGAATTTAGTGCCAACAGACCGACTTGAAAAGCAATATTAAAAGGAATTCCTCAAGAAGATGGAAGCACAGCAATGAAGAAGAAATGGAGTGTAACTGAGAGGGTAAAATATGGGCAAACGTAGGTAATGAATATTAACTGTAGAAGACTATAAGACTATAATTTTATGAGACTTTTGTGGGGCTTAAAACATATGTTGAATTACACTACAATCGAATTACATAATTACACAAAATACATTACAATCGAATCACAATGCTGTACGTGTGAAACTAACAAAATATTGTAAATCATCTATACCCCGACTTTTTAAAAACCTGAAATAAATAAATAATAAAATAAAATATACTACAGTGGCCAGAAAGTATTGGGGAGGGGGAATTAAGTGTTGTGAGGTCTTTGCACTGTGACCAAAGAGGCAAAAAATACTTTGGGGTAGATGCAAATGAATCCTAATTGACATTTATTGACCTTATTTCATTTCTGAAAGACATTTTGATACATTTTGTAGAATGTACATTATTCTTAACTGCATCAAAACCAATCACATGCTAGGTCAAAAATCAAGTTTCAACAAATTTCAAAGGGCTAAAATCATACAAAGCATATTCTTTGACCGCAGTCAAATGAAGCTAAAAATCAATAATAAAAAGATAACTTTTAAACATTCCCCAGATATTTGGAAATTAATGTACTCCTAAATAGCTCATGGATCAAAGGCATCTCAATGGATTTAGAAAATATAAAGTTTAGAATTTAGAAAACGGAACTAAATGACAACAGGCATATGACATATCAAAACTTGCGGGATAAAGCTAAAGCACTGTAATGAGGGAAATCTATAGCATACGTACATGTTTTAGAAAAGAAATGCTGGAAATTAGCTATATCAGTTCCATTTCAAGAAGGTAAAAAAGAACACTAAATTAATCCCAACAAAAGGAAATACAAAGTTAGAAGCATAAATTAATGAATTATAAAAATGCAAAAAGAACCAAAAAGGTGTTTCACTGAAAAGGCTAAAACATTAATAAACCTTAGTAAGACAAATTAAGAAAAAAATTAAAAACAGAAGGCACAAATTACCAATATCAGTAATGAAAAAAGGAACACAAATCCCATACACAATGACACATAAAAAGAAAATATAATGAACATTATGTCAAAAATTTGAAAACTTAGACGAAATGGACAAGTTCTTGAAAAAACAAAAACTTTCCAAAACTCATGCAAAAAGAAATGTAGAACGTTCTATCTTTAGATGAAACAACCTTCTCATAAAGAAAACTCCAGAAATAAGGCTCCACTAGTGAATTCTTCTAAACATTAAAGGAATAACCTACATCTTCCTTAAACTTTTCCAGGGATTAGAAAGAGGGAACATTTCTCCAATTAATAAGCCTGGCATAACCATGATACCCAAACCTGCCAAGGACATGGAAAGAAAGTTAAAATGGCAAAAGCAGCTTCTCATGTCCACAGTCACAAAAGTACACACAGGTGGTTCCCTCAGCCAGACCCCAGGCTCCCCACACTGATCCTGCCCAAAGGGGCATTAGAAAGTGGGCCTTGTGGCCTATGTACCTCAGCCTGACCATCACTGTTTCCGGCTTTACTGGTTACAAAGCACTTCTGTGTTTCCCATCTGACCCTCAGCAAGATGAGTATCAACATCTCTACTTAGGAGTATCAATACCCCCACTTCACAGATGAGGGAAGTGAGGCTCTATGGGGTGAATAACTTGTCTAAACCATCCACCCAGAGACTAACAGATCCAGGGTGAGAATCAGGGCCTTCCTCACCACACCAGGAAGCCCCCACCAAGCACTACTGAACGTAATTGAAGATGTCCTGAATTATACATTATGAGACAGACAAGATGAACACAGAAGGGTATGCTGAAAACTGCACAGACTATGTAAAAAAGAACTCCCCAGTCTAGCTCAGTGGTGACACATGCATTTTTTTAAATGTACAGAACCCAGAGGGCTACCTCCACATTATGAGAGATCCAATGCAAACGAGAACCAAGACAGCATAAAAAGCAGAAATTAAAGAATGCCTTTGAAGGAACTCAATAAAGCCAGTAAAGCTCTACTGAGGATTCTTTAAATACGTTCAAGCCACAGCAGCTCTCGGTAACCACAGGATACAGGGCCGAGGAGAAGGGGACGAATATGACGGGCCCTTTGTCACAACGGAGGTAGGAAGGTTCCCCTTCTAAAGCCTGTCTTCTGAAAGAGATGAGTCCGAGGCCCAGCTCAGGAGCTTCTAGATCTCATTGGTAAACAGAGACAGAAAGAACCTCCCAGGACAGACAAAGCTAGGACACATCAGCTAAATGACTCAGTGTGTGCCTTCAAATAGCACTGTCTAGAGAACATGAGGCCCACCAGTGGGGCCCCCCGAAACTAAGGCCCCACCCACCTGGGTGGCAGGGTCTATGAAAACAGCAATTTCAGTGAACCCACTGAACCCAGAGCAAACAGCACCACCTGAACACAAAATGACATGGTTCCCAGAGCAAAGAAATCATATGTTTTCAACCTATTGAGTTTGTTTGTTCAGGGCAAGTCAACCTATGGATAACAGGAAACTGGTGGATGTAATTTCTGAAATCCTTCAAAAAGCATGTGAGATGAACCCAGACCAAAAACTATTTAAAAGACTGAGTCACACGAGAGCGGGGAGTCTCTGCAGTGGATCAGGCTGGAGTAAAGCCAGTAAACAAAAGAGAGGGGACAGCAGGCAGGCACTTCTCTTGATGGAAAAATGTAAACAGCAGGCTCCCCAGGGGTTGGGCTCAGTTTTAGGTCTTCACAAATGACTTAGCGGGAGAAGGCAGTGGGGAGATTTCCCTGAGCCTGTGGGAGGAGGGGTGAGGGGCTGATAGACTTCACACACAAGGGCCCCCGAGGCCAGGGGATGGGTCTCCCACCCCCACCCCACCGCAGGGAGAGGAGCCCTAAGAACAAAGCAGGTGAGCGATCTGCCCAGGGGGGTGTGGCAGAGGGAGAGGGGAGAGGAATAACACAGAGTGATGCCTCCAGAGAAAAAGAATTCACATGGAGCCCTGGGGTACCCACAGCAACTGGGTTCATGCCCTTCTGACAGGCCCCAAAGCCAGGCTCCAGGCTGGCACTGCCCCAAGGCCACCCCCAAAGAGCCTCACCTGCTGCTGGCTCTGCTCCTCCAGGTTCATCTTCACCTCCAGCGACTGGCGGGCCTCCAGGAAGGCCTTGCGGTGCTTGCGGTCCGCCATGTAGTAGGACATGATGCCCACAACGATGGCGCACAGATAGAGGAAGACATTGGCCAGAATCTGTATCCAGAGGAGGAAGAGAGGAAAGGACAATGGTCAAGGCATGTCTTCAGGAGAAGGATGGAGGAGGTGGGCAGGTGGCGACCAAAATCCAACTGCAAGTTGCCCACTGTCCAGGGAGGTCCCCAGCAAAGCTTCTGACCTCGAGGGGGTATTCAGATCCCTGAAGTAGACCCTGCCCCATCACCATGGATAAGTGAGGAGACTGCTGTTCTCCCTTCCACCTTTTCATGGTAGGGAAGCTGGCCGGTCCTGCCTACCTGTGCAGCCTGAGAAGTCCTGCTACTCATCTATTCACTCACTCGCTTGTTCAACCACCACTTACTGCACCCTTACTTCGCAGGTGCATTTAGGTACTGTGCTGATTAGCTGGGGAGGAAAGTGAACCAAGCCCAGGCCAGGGGTGTAGAATCCTAACAGCTGCAGATCATATGGAATGTCACAGGAGACCAGAAGAGGTCCTGGGCTGATTTAGTTGTCACAATGCCACCTAACACATGTGCCGCGGGCTACAGGCTTCTGGGATTCACATGCATCCTCTGAGCCAATGCCACCTGCCAGCAGGTGAGAGGGTGGCCAGTACCAACATCCAGGTCTCATGAAGAACTGAAGCTCCAGGAAGAGGAAGAGGCAGGTGGGATCTGACGTCTGTCCGGTGAGCTCAGTGCATTAGCACCAAGGGCTTCTTTGGGCATCGAGAACCTGCTCCCCCACCCCTGGCACCCTGCAGGCTGGCCTAGGTGTCCTTAGTCCCCAGCCCGCTCCCACAGGCCGCCAGAGGTAACCTTGGCTATGGACCTGACATTATTCAAACCACGCCTGATTTCCTGGCGCTGTCTGCTGCCGGCTCCGATCCTTGACCTGACTGGGCCCCATCTGGGGCTGGACCAGGTTCTAATTCCTCCCACTTCTCCAAGACCACTGGCCATGAAGCTTCTCCAACAAGGCCTGTTTCCAGGTCTGGTGCCTCCCACTCCCCTGAGGCTGCCCCACGCTCCCTGCCTTGATTCCCTGAGGTCCTGCCAGAGATGGACAGACCCCCTCCTCCCAAGGGTGTGGTTTCTGGAGCACAAGTTGGAAGTTGAGAGGCAGGAAGGGAGACAGAAGTTCTTAGTTTCTGACCCTAGGGGAAGAAAAGATTGGCCCAGCGGAACATAATAAATTCTGGGGTAGGTGAAAAATGCAGGGAAGTCAATTTTAGATGTTGAAACAAGATAGTTTAATAGACAATAAGGCAAGTTAATTCTAACATTAATTTCCTGGGTACTTTTGGTTATGCTGTATCCCTCTGTTTTTATGTTTCATCAGGACTGCTGGTCGAAACTAACCAGGAGGACCTACCACCCCCCGCAGAAGCTTCCTGAAGAGTCTGTACTTGGGCACCAGTCTAAGCCCAGGGGGCACTCAACAAAGGCCCGCTGAGCAATGAATTGATTAGTAGGTGAGGTGTGTCTTGGTGCTGGTCATCAAATCACTCGGTGAAGATTTCACGAGCTTCTTAGATGGCTGGTTTTAGCAACTAACAACCAGCTGTGTTCTTGGGCCTGGGCAGCCTGATCGCCTACACCGCCTGTGGGGCAAGCAGGGCATTTCAAAGTCCTGTAGGACAGCTCCTGCACCTTCTTCTGGACCATGACAACCCATTCCCATCGGAGTGGTCAGTATGAGTATGCTCTCAGGCCACTTCCTAAACATATAATGATCGGAAAAGCTGCCAATTTATCATTTATGTTCAGTGAGTCAAAGCAAATCACACAGATCACTGGGTCTCAAAGCCAGTCTAGCCTGAGGCCTAGGAACCTCCACCTCCTGTGGGGTCCGTGTGGCCTTAGAAACCTGCGCAACTCCAAGTTCATGGTGCAGGAAGCTGGTCAAGGTCAGGCTGCACCCCGTGCATCCTCACCAAGCAGTGGCACTCCACCGAAGCCCATGAGGGGTCCAGATACAACAGCCACCGGGCCAAGAGTCTCCGGGCTGACAGGGCTTGGGGTCCTGGAGGGCGAGGGAGGAGCCACACGTCTGGACCCCACACCTGCCAATGTCAGCAACTGAACCAGGGGCTCCAGACAAGGCAGGCTGACCTGGGGCCACAGGCCGCCTGTCTCTGCCCTGGCCACAACCAGCGTGGGCTGTCACACAGCTGGGGACAGAGCTCCTCACTCAGGGGTCTTCCTGACCACCTCACGAGGATGCATGAGGCGGGCTCTGTAAAATGTACAGTGCTGAGCTGCTGTCGTTACCCATAGGGCATCCACCTAAGAAAACCAAACCTGCAGACAGGCTGTCAGAGAGCAACTCTAGTGGAAAAGTTTCAAACCAAAGATAATAATACAAAAAATAAGAGGATTCAGGGACTCCCCTGGTGGCACTGTGGTTAAGAATCCACCTGCCAATGCGGGGGACATGGGTTTGAGCCCTGGTCCGGGAAGATCCCACATGCCACGGAGCAACTAAGCCCGTGCACCACAACTACTGAGCCTGCGCTCTAGAGCCTGCGAGCCAGAACTACTGAAGCCCACGCACCTAGAGCCCGTGCTCCACAAGAGAAGCCACCGCAATGAGAAGCCCGCGCACTGCAACCAAGAGTAGCCCCCGCTTGCTGCAACTAGAGAAATCCCCCGCGCAGCAACAAAGACCCAACGCAGCCAAAAATAAATTAATAAAAATAAATTAATTAATTAAAAAAAAACAAGATTCAGGTTGGGTTCACGCCTGGGGAATGTCTAGGCAGGACAGCATTCCTTTCATTGAAGTGCACATTTTAAAATAAAATCTACTTTTGCACTCACTTGTAGGTACAGATGATCTAGAAAGTAAATTTAAGAGGAGCGCTGGACTCCGGTACTGCCCCTCGCTAGCCGGGTGGCTGCCAGGTCACATAACCTCCCTGAGCTCACTTCATCGTCTATGAGCGAGGGAGGGACTGACTCATCTGGAAGACCCCTCGGTCCTGACACTGGTCCTCATCAGACCTCACTTCTGAGGGCAAAGGTTGGGATTGGAGATGAACCTGGTCCGAGAGGCCAGGGGAAGGAGACCAGGTCAGTTCCAAGTTGGCCAGAGTGCCACACCGCCTCCCAGGCCCTGGGGATCCCTGGACCCAGAGGCCTCATCCCCTTCCTGACCTGCACTCTCGGCTGCAGGGATGCGGAGGGAAACGGCCACATCTGGACCATGCACTGCAGAGTCAGGTGGGTCCTGCAGGTGCCATCCATGCCAGGGAACTCCCTCCCGCCTTCCGGTGAGCACAGCTGTTTCCAGACAATTCTCCCGACAGTCCCAGGCCTTGGGTCTCCTGGAGCTCCCCCAATTCTCTAAACTTGCCTCAGCTGAAGAAAGGGCCCCCAGGGCGCTGCTGCTCTGGTCCACCCGACCTCTGTCTCCAGGGCTACGAGGCCCAGAAGAAGTGCGGCAACCCCCTGGTGCCAGGCAGGGGGTGGGGGCCAGAGGCTCAGCCTCCAAGTCCAGGGCACAAATCCACTAAGGCAAGGAGACCGCCAGCCGAGGAAGCAGGGGTTCGCTCTGGGGAGGAGGGTTGGGGACGGAGCAGGAGCTGTACTGCAACACGGTCCCCTGGGGTGATGGGGGCCCAGAGGTGCACAGGTGACCGGCAGGGCGGGGGAGGGTGTGGACAGCAGTCCCCACGTGCAGCCAGGGCCAGGAGCCCCTGATCCCGGTGACCCTGATGTGCAGCCAGGGCCGGGAGCCCCTGATCCTGGCCTGTTTCCTCGCCCATAACATCCTCTCACATCACAACCTTACATTCTAGACACAGTCACACACTTCACCCACCTCATCTCATTTAATCTTCACAAGGCAGGTGACATTATTCCAATTTTACAGGAGAAGGAATTGAGATTAAGCAAGGGCTCAAAACTAGAGGATAAGGTTTCTTCCTGCACTCATCTCTTATTATTCTCTGATGCAAAACCCCACCCTACAAGCACCCCTCAGCTAACTTACATATTTATAACCCCACCTTTCCCCAGAAAGGCTATTAGATATTTTTTAAAACTAAAATTAAAATTTCCACCAAAATACCAGCCCTAAAGCACTTATTGTGAGCTGCTTGCATTTTTAATCTGAAACAAAGTAGTACATCTACAGATTTCTACAACTTCCATACACGTGGGTGGTCATTAGCTCAAGGCTCAGAAATCCCTAAATTATGCCTGTAAGTGTGTCTCACTTAGCAAAAGGGATGTGCTCCTCCTAACACGCTTGGAAAAAATGAGTCGTGCTCCTTCGGCAGTGAGCCCCGAACAGCGCCAATGCCGAGGAATCGACGGTGACCAGGACGCCACCGTGGAGCCCGGGAGCCCAGCGCTGCCGGAGCAGGTCCAGGTCAGGCCACGAGGATGGGTAAGCAGGGCAGCTGTCACCTCTCTAACACATCCGTTAGTACAGCCTCTCGCTACAGTTTAAGAGCTGCAGACCCAGGAAAACCTTTGGCCACCAGGAAAGGTTGAACCCTAGAGAGAATCTGAAATGTGTCTCTCACGTGACTATGACAAACGGGCTCCTCCCAGCTGAGCCTTGACCTCTGCAGGCCTGGGATGAATCTTCTGGTGCTCCCACCCCGGTGGGAGGGGCGAAGGGCTTCCTTGTCAGAACTCGTCTCTTCTCCCTCCAGGACTGCCTTCCCAGCAGCCCCTGCTGTGCGAATACCCTGCAACCCTCAACGCTCCAGCCACAGCCAGCCCGCCTGGCAGCCCCTCTTCCTGCTCAGCCTCCCATCTCCCTTCCTCCATCTCCATCCTCCTCACACACGTCTGTCCCCTCTCTAACACCCGGGGCACCTGCTAAGGCAGGCACTGCTGTCCTCCTCACCGCTGTGTCCCCAGAAGCCAGCCCAGGCCTCATCCAGCACCCGGTGCTCAGGAACCCAGAGCTGCTGGGCTGGACGGACCAGGTAATGGAAGCACGTCACAGACTCACCCCTCAGCTGACTGCTTCAGCCTCTGGCCAGCAGACAAGAAGCCAGCACAAAGTCCACCTCT